TGAAGAGAACTCTCTTAAAGTTGGAGCGGTCGTTTTATGGACTCGTGTACATTGTGGCACTATAAAATCAACCATATGCTCTGTTTTATTGATATACTAAAACTTGTAGTTACATAAAGTAGGATAGTTTAAATATAAAAATTTTACGTGCTACTAAGGTATGACAAGTACTGAATTTTTTAGGGCCATGTTCTTTTGTGAATTCAAGATCAGCTTGCTAAAATTTAATAAATTGTTGTAACAATGTTTTTATCCAAAAGTAATTGTTTGTCATTACAAAATAAATGTCCTTTAGACATTTCAATATCAATTAGATTAAGAAATTTTATGATTGCGTTATACATTATGTCTAGTATTTGGAGTGTAGTGCTACGATGCTAAATAAATACATAATGAATGAAAGCAAAATCCTCTGCAATATGAACAACTATTGCAGAGATATACAAATTCTAAGCTATTACTATTCATTTACGCTTTCGTGCGACATCTATTTCCTTTATCCCATTGCTTTCCACTCGTGTTAATAGGGTAAAAATTAAATTTAATATAAAATTCATTTGCCGAAATCAAGGAGAGCGAAACAAAACGATTGCTTGTTACACTTCTCGGACTGGCCGAGCACTTTCAATAATTGCCACTTTGGCGCACATTAAAGTCAACTTATGCCGAGAATTGACTGCTGCAACAGCCGAGGCCTACTCCCCCCTCCCCCTGATGGCCTCGCGCCGTCTCTTTCCCGTCTTGCCCCACCTAGAACGCATAATCATTATCGTTACAGTTTATTGCACATTAAAACTGCGCCGCTGCCTCGGTCGCCCTTTGCTTTTATGAAACCGTCTCTGGGCCCAACACTTGGCATTACATAAAGCAAATGGCCATAAAACGGAACAGGGAACATGGCCAAAAGGAAGAGGGCAGCGAAGAAGTTAAAGGAGCAGAGCTACACGGACTTGACCGACTCGTAATTGTCACCCTCAGCGCCTTTTGTTGGAATTTACACATGAATAGTTGCCGGACCTCCTGCCAGTTGGGAATTTAATTTAATTGTGACTGAAATTTGCTTCCATCTTGAGCACTCTCCCGATTCGCTTCAATTGTATTTGAAATTTTATTTGATTTTTATTTAATTTTTAAGTACTGCCCCAAACGGTGCAATTAACGGCCCTTCAAAATGGGTTTCACAATGATTTGCAGTTAGCTAAATTTGCGAGTAACTGAACCCTTTCCGTCCAAGTAACCAAAACCAAACCCAAATCCAATAAAACGGGGTTAGAGCTGTCATGCTTATTTTATTTGATAGCCCCATGATTTTAGCAAATTATGCAAATGTTTGCACTTATTTGAAACAACATTTTTGTTACTCATATTGAGTCGCACTCGTTCTCTTTGGTCTCTTGCAAATATTGACAAGAGTTTTATTTAAATTTGGCTGCCAATTTCTTGGCAGGAGTTTCCGGCAATGTCACTGCGCTGCCCCTCCCCCTCTTCGTCACCGCCCCCGCTCCGCCCACCACCCTCCCCAGCTGCCACGTTCTGCGCATATTTTTGCCAAATCAGCAAATGTTGCCGTTGTCAACTGAGTTCGCCCCTGCCATGTCTCGATTCGCAGATTCTATTTTTTCTGCCGTCTTCTCTTCCGTCGTCAGCGAAGCCGAGCATAGCAAATGCCACTAATATGAAAGCAAATTTGCATAATAATTTTTGCCAGATTCTTTTGCTAGCTGGCTGCCGTCATATTTAAGTTGAAATTCCTTTAGTTTGGCATTTGAATATTCTGATTTGGTTGTTCTTCTGCTCTTTGCAATACGCTCTTAAAGTTGAAAAAGGTTTAGTTTTTATGTAGCGGTCAAACTGGTTTGCCACTGCTTATTACATTAATGGAATTAAATGGCATTTAATAGGAAAATTAATTAAACTGCTTTATGTATAACGACACTTTAAATGAATTATTTTTGTAGGCACTGACAAAGAGGATATTTTTTTGAGGCTTTCAGTGTCAACTGTTTAAAAAAAATCAAACATTTTCTTCTATTCACAGTGCGTTTGTAATTTGAAAAATTGTGCAAATAAAAAAAAAGCTGCCATTATAATTCAATCTATTATTAGCAAAAAAATTCGAATGTGTATAAATCATTAAATAATTGGTTCAGAATTAAAACCCTCTTTAGTGAATTATGGTCAAAGTTATTATAGTGGTTGGTGGATTATACTTTTGTTCCATAGGAAATGCCTGCTTGAACATTAAGTATCAAAATACAAGTCACACATATCGAGCGATGTTAAAGTTCATTTATTTACACACCTTACGCCTGTTTGCCTCTGGCCATAAAAATAATTGGCAATAAATACGCTAAGAGTCAAAACAAAACGGCAATTGTCAAGGACCAAGAAGCCAACAAGTCCTGCAAAAAGGAGCCCGGCAAGGAATAAGAAATCAACACATTGCTTTTAATTAATGGAAGCTGCAGAGCACTCACATACGCACGCAGTTACCCCTGGGTTTTTACGACTTTCCTCCTGGCATCTGGATGTGCCATCAAATTGGACGGAAATCGGGGGGAAAGTCACCTTGTCGCTTGTCAGTTTCAAGTGCGTTGAGTTATAATTTTATGTGCAATTAATTTGCCACAGAATACAGACACACGCACACACGAATTTAATGCGTTTTCTGGTGTGTACGTGAACTGGCTAATGAGCCAAGCCATGCCACCAATTTCCCTGTCCTTTTTTTTCGAGCGACTGCTCTATACTGGCGGGCCTCTAAAAATTGTTTAGGCAAACAATTTTGATGGTCGCCGTGTTTTGGCCATTAATGTTGATGGCATTTTTATAGTTCTAAGCGATGCGAGAAAAAAGTTTCGCTAAACGAATTCAAAGTAGAGCAACTTTCGTGCAACTCTGTTGCAATTCATTCGAACACTTTGCATTATTCAAGCCCGTGGCTCGAAAACAAATCAGCACAAGTGGACAAACGTGGCCAAAATGTTCAATTTCGGCCCAGAACCACGCACAGCCATTGGGCACTTTACGATTGATTTTTGCGGTGGTTCGGGAGAGGGGAGAACACTGCGTTTGGTTTCAGCTAAAATCTCTAATTAGCTAATTGCTATAATTAAATGTTTTGCCAATGCTGGCATTTCGTTTAACTCAGCACAAGGAAAATGTAAATTGTGAAAGCAGCCCTCGCAGAGTGTGTGTGTGTGTGTGTGGACGACGTCATCATCGTTACCATCATTGGCATTGTTATTATTGCGGTTGCCCTCGTTCTTTGGCACTGGTTCGCCCTGCTCTGCTCTGCTCCCGCCGTAATGGCAAATCGAACATATTTGCATATGAAATGAGCGAAAAATCGAAACATGGCGGCAGCCAGGCCCGGGCCATGTCGATTCCGGGCGGAAAGAACTGGGGAGCCCGGCGATTTCCGGCTTAGACAACATCACATTTTAAACGACTCTCCGGTTGACCCCACCCCACCGAACAGTGTTATGCCGAATCGAAAGTCGGAGAGCAAAAACCATTTATAATCATTATAAATTATGCATTGCATTATCGCTACCGTCATGACTGGCGCAGCTTGGCTTTTTTTCCCAGCTGATTAGCAACTAATTCCGCAGCGGCCACGCTGCGTATGAGCAATGTGCGCCGCCTGCAGTTGACTGAGCTGTGAGTTGGGTCCACAATTAAATCATCTCTTGCGGCCGGCCAGTGCATGGGGAAATTTCAAACAAACTGTAATAACTTTGTTTGGGCCACGCGAAAACGCTGAGCCTACGAAATGCAAATGAGTTAACAAGTGAATTTAAATGAGATACAAACAACGGCGGAATTCCGTGACGAGGGACAACGGCGCTTGGCCAAAACTCGTGGGCAGACAAAAAGGGCTAACAAACTTTTCCGCAAGAAAATTCTGTGGAAATTTTATAAAATTTAAATTAAAATCAGACCAAAATACGTAAAGAGAGGAATCCGGTTCTGTCGGAGGCCGGATCTGAAATAAGCTTGAGTTGGCGAAGAGTCCCGAAATTAATGTCAACTTCAAACAGTAATCTCTCTCTTTCTCGTTCTGCGCTTTAAACAAAGGCGGCGAAATATGAGCGAACAAAGCAACTGCGAATAATGAAAAGGCAAACGAATCTTAAGTGCAGGCCAAAAATAACACAAATAAATGCCGAGCAAAAGGGAAATTGTTAAGAGCAAGGACTCGGAAAATAAGCCAAGCCAAAGGACATAACTCAAAAAATGGCTGCAAAAGTAACGTAAAAAAGGCAGCAAAACAAATGGAAAGGGCATGGAGGGGGAGGGGGGGTGAAATGAGGAAGAACAATCCCGTCTTGAAAGCCGGGTGAAATTAGCATAAAAAAAGGATTTGCTCGCTAATTTCACTTTAATGTGAGAGGACGAAAGAAAAAGGCGCAGGACAGCGATGAAGACGTCGCGCCCATTACGTCACTTTTATCTCGTCGCCGTTCTTTGGGCCAGTCTCTCCGCTTTTATTTATAGCATTATTAGTTGGGCCAAGCTAAAGATCGCAGCATGCTCCCCGCAACTTGGCTTTTTGGGGGGTCTGGCCCAATAACAAAGTGCTAATGCCCTCGGCTAATTATACATCATTTGTTAGCCAGTTTTTTTGCAGCCACTTCCCTGCAGCTCCTGCTGCTTTTTCCCATTTCCGCCTTCTATACACAAATAAATCTTTTGCTAAATTTAACTTTTTTATCCGGGTTCAAGCTTATTAATTCCATTCAGAGTTCTATGACTTAAGTGAATTCTTTTTTGGCTTAAGAAATAATTCAAAACTTGAAAGGATTTGGGCATGTGCTTGTTGTGGAATTGTATTACATTTATATATATTTTCCTTAAAATAAATCTACCTAGTTTTAGGAAAGCAACTATATAACTATTTTAATATTTAATTTATAGCAAAGAGATCCTAATAGGATTGCATTTTTTCCAGTACACTTCCGCCTGTGACACAGACTAATCGCTGTCTTTTTTTCCAGGTCCGCCCGTGCTATCCGAGTCCATAATGGGGACGGTCGGCCGACTGCCCTGCAACGTCACCCCGCCCATCTACGAGGATCGGGTGGCCCTGGTCATCTGGTACAAGGTCGGCCTGAAGACGCCCATTTACAGGTGAGTGGCTCCTGCTTTTCAATCGCCCGAATGCAGCTGCTGGCGCCGCACAGGCGAAGTTTGGGTGACACATTTTTTAGAGCCTCCCTTAAGACTTAAAGTCCCCGTGTCAAATGCAGAACCACAGGCCGCAGCCCCACTCACCGCAAACATTTCAACCACACACACTCAGACAGACACGTTGGCACGCACGGGTCCATAAATAAACAAAATTGATTACCGCAGACAACTTTTGACGCACTCAACCCGCTCGCCACTCAACCAACGCAAACAAACACGGCCGACAGATGAGGCGGGAAATTGGATCGGAAAAGGGGGCGTGGCAGGCGGAAGGCCGGAAAGCGGAGACCTGCACATGTCAGTTGGCGTATTTGCGGGGAATTTTCATTCTGATTTAATGGCGGCTAATTAGGCAATTTTTTTCGGGGGCAGCACTGTCTGTCCGCCAGCCGGCAAACTCGAAATTAGCATAACTAGAGAATTATACACAGGGGCTCTGTGGGAGTAGCACCCGAAAATCGAGGAAAACTTTCAGGACAATCCCAGCTCGCTCCAAGGTTACATTCGGCAGCAAAACTTTTTCAATTATTCATGTCTAACATTATGTCGCAGTGGTTGCTCGTCGGCTTCTAGTATCTTGTATCTTGCAGATACACGACTTCTGTACATCAAAGGCGTGAAACTTTAATTGGATTTGTCCGACTTGTCCGCATGTGAGTGGGCCAGTGAGCCAGTGAGCCAGGGCCGGTGATTAGCTGATTGCCTGTGGCAACCAGCTAGCCGGCCATTGACATGCGGCCAAAACTAATTGAACTTCGGGCACTTCAAGGACTTGCAAATGACTCGGGCGAAAGTAGTAATTAGCGTTGCATAACGACCGTCCGCGGGAAAGGGCTCCGTCGAGCTGAGCTCAACTCTTGTTTGTAATTAAAAACCACTCAGCAAGTGAATTAATCATAAAAAGAAACCGCTGGCCAGCGCACTGGCCACGCCCTATGGTGAAAATTTAATTTTCGCCCCAGCACCGACAGCTCAATTCCGGCATTCAGCCACCAGCGATTCGCCATCGGGTTTTTATTGCCCGGCTGACATGTGATGCTTCAGCGTCAGGTTTCCAGCAGAACCTCATTATCGGGGCAACCCACTTTCGAGTGTAGCATATGTTGCGAGCAAATCAAAATTGAAATGCAATAAAACACAGGCCGGCAATTCGAGAAGCTGTCAAAGGCTGACGGGGAGCAGAAGACATATGGAGATGCAGAAAAGATCGACTCATGCGCAAAGCGGATTTATGGCGAATTTCTGGACGGTGAAATATCTACGTAGCAGCCCAAACAAACGACGGTTGTCGATCTAATTTAGGTTCAACTTGCCGACCTGCAATTTAAATGGCAACTCGAAGGCCCTTGGGCATGAATGATTAATTCATAAGTAGTAGCCTATATCTGGGCAATGCTACTCAAATCAGGCTTCGAACTTGGCTCCCTGGGGCGAGGATTACCGAGGATCCCAATTGAAAACGCTTTCGCCCACTTAAAGGCATGCTGAAATAGAATATTACGCCGAGGCGTGCATAATTAACTATGTCTTGCCAAGAATGCGGAGAGGAGAGCTTTAAACCCAATTAACTTCGCCACTCGGCTAAATGTTGACCTAAATCAGGCGCCGCCCTCTCTCTTCACGGGCAAACTGGCTCGGAACTTTTTTAAAAACCAACTCTGCCAAATGCTCCGAGTTTGAGAGGCAGAACAGACACTTTAAACCGTGGATTGACCACCAAAATGAGCTCGTTACGCCGGATTTCGACAGCATGGAATAATCAATAATCGGCAATTTCAAGCGAAAACAATAAATTACAGCGAAGTGGGCGGGTGTGTATTATTAATTCATTGCAGAACCCAATTACGCTGTTGGCGATAATAAAAAACTTTCAACATGGCGTGAGAAAGTAATGAGAGTAGGGCGACTTTTGTTTTCCTTTGGCTCGGGTTGATACACAGAAATTGTTTTAATTTCATTCCCATTCCTGCACTGAGAGAAAAAAGAGGAGATATAATATGGCTTAAGGATTTTTTTAAACTTTAAAGCCATTTTTAAGTTGTGTACTAGAATACTTGGGTTACCATTTTAAATCAACCAAAGGCATTGATTCATAAGCCTCGGATTTTATGTGGTTTCATACTTTTGTTCCAATGATAATGAAATAATTTCAACAACATGTATATTTTTAGTATGTTAGCTTTTAAGGGAGATGACAACGTTAAGGAGGAATTTTAGTTAAACTATTAATTTGCATGGGCTGCAAAGACTGCTGCCCTTTTTATTTATATTAATTAATTATTCGCGAATCCAAATGCTTAAAGGCCTTTCCTTTTTGGTTTGATTAAATCCGAGGTCTATTGGTATATCTATTGCGTTAAAATGTATATTTATGACAGTATATTTTGAAGAAATGACTACTCTTAACCGTACAGATGGCCAATTTCACTGACATGTTTTCCCAGTGCACGTCTTGATCTCCGCTTGTTTTCCCATTTCAGTGTGGACACACGCGACTCCAACTTCGCCCAGGGCACGCACTGGTCGGATGAGAACTATCGGGAGCGACTCTCCTTCCACGTGGAAGGACGTGCCGGCACGCTGACCATCAAGTCAACCACGGAGGAGGACACGGGCGAGTATCGCTGCCGCGTCGACTTCCAGAAGAGTCCGACGCGAAACTCCAAAGTGAATTTAACTGTCATAAGTAAGTATTGAGCCACTCTCCGTTCTCAGTTCTCCGTTCTCGTTTTCTGTTTGCCCACAGAGTGCGGGGCAGCATAATTGAGCAGCTAATTTGTGCAGCGACATATCCTGGCCGGGTCTTCGTCCTGACTCCTTTCTGTGCAGCTCGGGTTGGCCTGGCCAACCACGGCACTCAGCTCTTGGACAAACACATTAGTTACAGAATAAGACGCCAACTATATGTTCGGGTTGCCAACTTTTCCCTTATTTTTAGCCACTGCCTCCCTTTAGCAGCTCTGTACTTGGCAAACAGATTTTAAAGTGCCAACTTGGCGAGAAGTTTAAACGTGGCTGGTTAAAGCTGCTCAAGGAGAAATGGGAAACGTAGAGGGAGGGATGAGATGAGTGCAGGGTGCACGCTCTGAATTGAATTCCTAGCCCTTTAAATGGATTTCAGCTCGGAATTGGGCAAGAGTATGCGATGGAAATGCTGAATTTACGCAAGATGAGCACTCTGTTTAATTTGATTTTTTATAAAGAATAATTAAGTCTTTAAATATTTTTGCTGAAATAGCATATTTATATTCTTGAGTGTGGTGAAATAATTAGAGCGCAACGTACATTTTATTTTATATATTTGGTATTTTATAGAAAAGCAGGATAATGAAATGCAGAAAGGAATATATTATGTTACCTTTTGTTCCAGTAATAAAGCTAACATTTTTGGGTGAAGCTTAGATAGTAGATACAATAAATATTTGCATCACAAATATCTTACAACAAAAAATAAGTTTGTTGAAATATTGAATTTCTGTAAGAAAATAAGATGTATTTTATTGGTAAGCAAATAAAAGAACTAAAGCTGTAATCCTTAAGGTAGTAACTTTATGGGAAACTGTTCTTCAATCAGAAAACAATTTTTGTTTTGGCCCAAGTGAAAAAGATTATATTTTCTTGAAGACCATCCCGACTAGAAGAGGATTATCCAGAAGCAGAAGCGTATTCCATCTTCCGCTTTTCCCCGTTTCCAGTTGCAATTTGGGGCTTGTTTTTTTGGCCATCTCCAGGGGAATGGGGAGGATACCTGTGCATTGAGGCGGCCACAGCTTGCAATTTACCATTAAAATTTATATGCGTTTCCAAAGGCGTTTAGCTGAAATATATGGCCGGCAGAGTTGGCCTGGCCGAATATTGTTGGTAAATAGTTGCTGCCGACGTCGCTGCTGCCAGATGGAGCGCAGAGGGCGGGTGGCAGGGGGCGTGGCCGTGTTTTACAAACTTCTTGAGCATGTTCAACATGCTGCTGTGTGTGCGTGTGTTTGTCTGTGACATGTGAAGCGTAAAACCAAGGCAGGATTTAGAACTTTGTATGTCGGTTGGGAAATGGAAAAAAGGAAAAGAACAGAGGGTAAAACTTTAAAGAAGATATTAGATTAAAAGTTGCCCCAATCCGGGGTGGACAGTTTGGACAACTTGCCGCTGCTGCTAATGCGCGGAAGGGGCAGGAAATTCCAAGGACTTGATCAGACCAAGCAAATTTGCAGCAAAGCGATGGTAATCGGGTTGGGGTCCGGCTCAAAATAGTTGGCCAAGTGCCCACCCACATAACCAAAAATAATAAGGAAAGCCCCGTTAAAAAGACCAGTGTAGAGCAGTCAAAACAATGAAAGGCGGAAGAGCAGAGTAGAAATAGGTAAAAAGAAATTGAAACTCGCCAGGGAAAAAGAGGAACTCTTCGCTGAACTTTGACTGCACCTGTTCAAGCATTTCTTTTCTCCGTCTTTTATTTTTAAACTTTGAAAGTGGCAACAGCGTAAGCAGCTCTTTAAAGCCCTGACAGTCGGGCTTTTAAGGAGCCCGCTAAGTTGACAGTCAGAAAAGGGTTTCAGAAAGTGGTTAGGTGTCATGCTTTCTTCGGTCCTCGATTTCTATTAACAAAATTCAATACTTAAATGCCGTTCCCCACTTGCAGTTCCGCCCGAATCAGTGCTTATATTGGACAGCAAGGGTATCACCATCGAGGATCGCACGCTGGGTCCCTACAACGAGGGCTCCGGCATCAACATCACGTGCGTGGCCATCGGCGGTAAGTCCTTGTTCAACCCCCTCCCCCCCTTTCAGTGTGTGCTCGCAAAAGTGTTGACGCTGCTGCTTGTGTCTGACAATTAAAAGTGATGAGCGTGAAAATGCAGGCGAAAGATTTTCACATTTTATTTAATTTCCACCCGGCTGTCGACTGCACGAACACGAACTCGAACTGGAGCTCGAGTTGCAAACCAAACCAAACGAATCCAGACCAATGTGCAGACACAATCGAGGAGCTCCAGCACACACAATGCCCACACAAATTGCATTGAGAGCACTTGAAAATTGCTAAAAGCCAAACAAGACAACAAATGAAACAGCGAAAGGCACTTGTACACACACGCAGCCCCACACCCACTACACCTACCACCGTAGCTACCCATATATGGGATACCCATATATAGCCACAGAAAGACACTCATCCACTCCTTGCACTTGTGAGCACATAAACAAACAGAAGACCGGCTAAAACGCTGCCAGCTAAACGCAGAGACAACTCCAAGTCTAAGCCGTACGGCAAACATATCAGTTGCACACAACACACACACACCCCTCCCCCCTCTCGCCACAACTCTGATAATTCTTTTCCTCCATCCGCAGGTCGCCCCCAGCCGAGGGTCACCTGGCTGCACGGCAACACCGTCTACAAGGACGCCAGTGTGGGCCATGCCCTGTCCGAGCGGCGGGTGGGCAACGTGCTGTCCCTCCAGCGACTGGAGCGCCGCAATCTCCACATGCAGCTAACGTGCCGGGCGGAGAACAATAATTTGACAACGCCAATTATCAGCAGCGTCGTCCTCGACATGAACCGTGAGTTCCGCCCGAGAATCGAGAATGCTCAACTCAACCCCCCCCCCCCCCCCCCTGCATTCTGATCTGAGCCCCGGCCTAACTAATTAAATTCTATCGCCTCCACAGTGCGCCCCTTGATTGTAAAGCTGCAGGGGGAGAATCGACCACTGTCGGCGGGGAATTCTTATCAGCTCAGCTGCGTTGTCATCGGAGCACGTCCAGCACCGACGATTACCTGGTGGAAGGGCAGTACCCCCATGAAGAATACTCATGAGATTGTAAGTGGAAACGAAGGGCAGCTGAACAAAGCCCGACTAGCGGGGGTCCTGTAAATGATTGTTTGGGAATAGCCAAGCTAAAATTACAATAGAAGTTTCTATCGTTTGGATGAGCTGATTGCAATTTGTGGGTCGAATCATGCAACCGCTTTAAGAACTTTTTGTTTTGAAAGTGGTATAACCTCTATTTTATTTTAGTATTTCTTTTACTAAGATCTTTAAACCCAAGGGATTATTACTTTTTATTGTTTTAAACAAATTAAAGCAATAAACAAGAAAGGAAAGCTAACTTCGGGCGGAGCCGAAGTTGATATACCCTTGCAGAATACTCTGTAAATTATATTCTCCAAAATTATTCATATGATGCATTCTTAATACTCATAAAAAATCCGAACTTCCTAACTTTAACAACAACAAAGTTATGGCATTTCCAATCGTTCAGTTATATGGCAGCTATAGGATATAGTCGGCCGATCCTTATGAAATTTGGTAGGTCGGATTGATTGGCCAAAAATAAAATCCATAGAAAATCCCAACTTCCTAACTTTACAAACACCAAAGTTATGGCATTTCCGATCAATCAGTTATATGGCAGCTATAGGATATAGTCGGCCGATCCTTATGAAATTTGGTAGGTCGGATTGATTGGCCAAAAATAAAATCCATAGAAAATCCCAATTTTCTAACTTTACAAACACCAAAGTTATGGCATTTCCGATCAATCAGTTATATGGCAGCTATAGGATATAGTCGGCCGATCCTTATGAAATTTGGTAGGTCGGATTGATTGGCCAAAAATAAAATCCATAGAAAATCCCAACTTCCTAACTTTACAAACACCAAAGTTATGGCATTACCGATCAATCAGTTATATGGCAGCTATAGGATATAGTCGGCCGATCCTTATGAAATTTGGTAGGTCGGATTGATTGGCCAAAAATAAAATCCATAGAAAATCCCAATTTTCTAACTTTACAAACACCAAAGTTATGGCATTTCCGATCAATCAGTTATATGGCAGCTATAGGATATAGTCGGCCGATCCTTATGAAATTTGGTAGGTCGGATTGATTGGCCAAATATAAAACCCATAGAAAATCCCAACTTTCTAACTTTACAAACACCAAAGTTATGGCATTTCCGATCAATCAGTTATATGGCAGCTATAGGATATAGTCGGCCGATCCCGGCCGTTCCGACTTATATACTGCGTGCAAAGGAAAGAAGGGTGTGTGCAAAGTTTCAATCCGATAGCTTTAAAACTGAGAGACTAGTTTGCGTAGAAACAGACAGACGGACAGACGGACAGACGGACAGACGGACAGACGGACAGACGGACATGGCTATATCAACTCAGGAGGTGATCCTGATCAAGAATATATATACTTTATAGGGTCGGAGATGTCTCCTTCACTGCGTTGCACACTTTTGACCAAAATTATAATACCCTCTGCAAGGGTATAAAAAGTGAAGCATTAATTCAAAAATATAAAATAAAGAAAATCATTCTGAAAGTTTTATTAACACAGCAATTGATTCAATGATTGACTTTTGACGTATAACCTGTCGTCGGAACCACCCGACTGCTACCCCGTGCGAAATGTTTATAAACATGCAAATTTGAAATGCCTGTCATCCTTGTTAATGGCTGCCCCAGAGTACAATTTCCTCCCCCACCGAGAGTCGTACACATGCTTTGTGGTAATTGAAGTTGCTCGAACGGCAGTCACGTAGCGAGGGCCTCAATTAAAAGCACCCCCTATCTGCGCCGAAGGACGTGCCAACCCTTTTCCTTTTCCGTTTCCTTTGTCTTGTCTTGCCCACTCACCCGCTAACTGTTTGCCCCCTTCCCTGTTATTTAGGCCAATCCGGATGGAAACATGACCACCTCGGTGCTGACGTTCACGCCCACCATCGATGACCGCGGCAAGTTCCTGTCCTGTCGGGCGGAGCAGAGCATGATACCCGAGTCCGGGATGGAGGACGGCTGGAAGTTGGACATCTATCGTGAGTTCTGTTTGGCTAAAAGGCCTGCTTAATATTTAATTCGGCTGCCCAAAGTTTTTAATGAAACCGAAAGCACAAAGTCGGCGAGCGGCTTTAAAAACTGTGTAAGAAATCGCTGCACTGGACCCCCCACCCCGCCAACCCACCACCGCGACTCCATATTTTTCTTCGATTCTCCCCGGCTGCGCAAGTTTTGGCAAATTAATTTCCAGCGGCGGCCGGTGAAAGTTTGGCACAAAACTTGCGAAACTTTTTAACCCGCCACAAGCACCGCAAGCAGCGCCGCCAACGCCGCCTGCAAAGTCATCTTTACGCTCTTACAGTTTTCGACCTGTTTGCACAAAATTTAAATGGCAAAAACCACCGCAGCCCCACCTCTGCCGCCTCAAAAAAGGGGGAGGGCGTGGGTGCTTCCTGTTTGCCTTGGGAGTGCGGTTTTATTGCTTACCTTTTAACTTTTCCTCTTTTTGTTCCTCTTTTTTGTTCCCAGCCCGATTCGATTGAAATATCTGGTTCATTCGCGGCGCAACGAAGCCTTGTGGCGGGGGCACTCTTTGCCCAATTTGATAGATTGCTTAATAAGCTTAATTGATTCGCATTCGCGAACCAATTTTGAATTAATCAAGTTAAAATGTTGCTCAGTTACCCGGTGGCTACCCCTCCTCCAAAGCAGCAAAACAGCATTTCAAAGGCCTAATTGCCAAGCTGGCCAACAGAAAAAGTATAATAATAAACAAACAAGTTAAAAAAAAGGAGAGAGAGAGAGAGTTCTGGGTGGCAGGGGAGCTGAGCATTTGAACAACTTAAATTGGCTAATTTGTGCGGCTTACACAGTAATTACACCTTTGCCCGATGCTTCTGGCATTTTATTTGCTTGCCAGCTTTATTATTTGTCTGGGCAGGCGATTTAAAGTAATTAGCTTCCCCGATGCCATGGCAGCAAAGCCTGTTTTTCCTTTTCCTGACGCTGTAGCTGAAGTTGATACTGATGCCAATGCCCCCCACCTAACGAGTTCTATCCAATTTGACGGCCTTTTCATCCGCAGACATTCCGGTGGTGAGTCTGGAGCTGGGAACCAATTCGCTGAACTCCACTCTGCGCGAGGGCATCGATGTGTTCTTCGAGTGCAACATCAAATCGAATCCGTGGATATACAAAGTTAGCTGGCGGCACAATGTAAGTGACAGACAGATGCCGTTTTACATGCATTTTAGATTTCACTCCGGCGAGCACATTTAACACCCCGCTGCCTTCGCCAACTCGCGGCTAATTTATTGCGACTTGGGGCACTTTGAGGAGCAGGACGGCTCGATTCGTTTAAGAGGAACACGCACATATAGCGGCAATATTATTATTATTATTTTCATTATATGCCATACATACATTAGCCTCGGGCGCAATGGATCAAGAGCCAAAACTCCGGCCGAGATGGAGCGCATAATTGTTGCATATTTTAGGGCTGCCAAAGGGCAAAGAATGGAATTCACTACGCTCACATAGAAGCGCACACAATTTATTATTGAATTACCGGGCTGTGAGAGCACTTAACAATTTATGCAGCCCGGGCCTAATTTATGCAGCCAGCGGGCCTTCAATCAGCCGTTCCGCCTCCCAGCCTGCGGGGCGTATGCGCAATGTAACGCAACATAAAAGTGTTATTAGCTTTGAGAAATTAAATTTATTTCAATTTAGCATTTATCGGTAAATTGAATTCGATTCAATAAATTATTACGCCACACGAAGGGGCGGACTTTGAAATTTTCAATTTGCGTTTCACTTTCTGCTTTCGATTTCAGGGTGAGATTCTGTCCAACAATCCCGCCGCCGGCATTGCCGTGTCCAACCAGAGCCTGGTGCTCCAGAACGCCAGTCGGGCGAGGAGTGGCATCTACACCTGTGTGGGCAGCAACCGGGAGGGCGACGGCGAGAGCAACCCCGTCCAGCTGGACATCCGATGTGAGTAATTCCCCAAGTCGGTCCTTGGCCTTAGCTCCAGTGTGTTAATTTACATAACAGCTTAATTAAAAGGAATTGGATCTTTTGATTGCAATTTGTAACTAACACGTTACACAATGCAATTACAGCAGGACTCAGCAGGACGAGTCCCTGTGTGCGACTTATCCTGCCACAGACAAATTGAATTTTTCCCGTAAATCAGACAAATAAATCAATTAAGCAGCAACAATGCAACCACAAACGAGGCCAGCATTTCTTTAAATATTTAATGTGAATATGCAGGAGTTTCTTGTCGAGTAAAAAGTTCTTATTGAACGAGAATCAAGCTCAAGTTGGGCCAATGTTTTCCTTTAATTATGCAGATGCCTTGGCCACTCGATTCAATTCAATTCAATTCATCTCGATTCCCTGGTCTTTGTCTCCTTGCAGTTGCGCCCGTATGTCGACCTCGCCAAAGGATCTCTTACAGCTCGGGCCGCCATGAAACCGTCAAGGTGGCCTGCGAAATCGATGCCAATCCCGCGGAGGCGAGCTACGTTTGGAAATTCAATGCGACCCAGGGCGAAACGGTGGACATACCCGCCTCGCAGGTGGCCGTTGATAGGGGTCGCAGCATTGCACACTACACGCCCATGACGGAGAATGTAAGTACTGGAGTGCCCATTTCCATTCCCCTTCCCACTCCGATTCCACTGCCCCCCGGCGCTCCTGGAGGTCATATAAATCAGTCCGTGGCACGCCCTTGAGGGGCCAGCACATAATTTTCCAAACGAGTTGCGGTTTTGAATTTTCAATTAAGGTCGGAAAGGTGTGTTGCCAACGGCATCGCCTTCGCCGCAGTGCATGCATAAATTAAGGCAACGAAATGCATTGTCACTCAACCCGGTCCCATATCCCTGCCCCACCTGCACCACCTGCCCCACATGCACCACCTGCACCCCGATTCCGACACCCGCACTCATTCGCCTGTTTGCGATTTCTTCTTTGCATTGCCAGGACTACGGAACGCTGCTCTGCTGGGCCACCAACGAAATTGGCGATCAAAGTGAACCCTGCGTATACACAATAGTCCCGGCAGGTGAGTAGTAACACTGGGGAGGGGGGAGCTGGGTGGAAGTAGGTGATTCACCTGTCAGTGGGGCTGTGTGGGGCTATTTGGAGCCACTGGGGGCTCGGTTGCCGACAGCCTTTGGCTTCATTTCGGGCCTTGTTTTGAGGGCATGTGAGTTTCATACAGGTCTAGATGAGATTTCGACTTAAACTATATGTACAGAAAGTAATGTTAATAATAAAGAAAATAATTATTCTTTATAAATATGCAGGCATTTAATTTCTTAAACAGTGAGATATTCGATGAAGGGTTAATTTCTTATTATTTATCAATAAAATAAATAAAGGAGTAAGCCTGACACTCAATGTTAGGTCGAAGGTGTTAATATTCTAAAGAAGTACTGTACATAAATTAAAATTTATTTGTTTATTAAATATTAATTAAATATCAACTACTATTAATCTTAAATGCTTTCTATACTGAGGTGATGGGAAAATCTAGTCCCGGCTAGTTGAAAGCGATAAGTAAATAATGTTCAGATATGACTTGGTTGAATGATATTTTGATAGCACCTCGGGTAAAAAGTGTTTTTGGCAGTAACAAATATTTAAAAATGAATAGATAAAAATACATCTACACGGTATCGGTAGCTCCATCAGCTGAATTTCTATTCGTGGGAAAGAGCTTGGCTTAAAGCGGTTTTTGTTTATGTTTTGTTTTGGGTCTGGCAAAGTCCCGCTGTGCTGATTTGTCGATGACTTTGGCACTTTGCCGTTTTGCTTTGCTGGCTGCTAGATTAGTCAAACTTGCGCTGCGAGTTGGCTTATTGATTTGGCAGCTACCCGGCGAAATATGTAGATGCGAAAGCTGTAGACAAATGCTCGGGGTCGGAGCAATTTGTTGCATGATCTGCCTCTGAGCCGGAATAATAAATGTCCCTCTGTCTCTGTCCTTCTGCGTGCTCACAGGCGAGCCGGATCCGCTGCTGAATTGCACGGTGCTCAACCAGACTTCGACGGGCTTCCAAATCGAATGCATAGAGGGCTTCGACGGCGGCCTGCAGCAGGACTTTATAATGGAGGTTCACATGAACGGAACGACGCGCAATCCCAAAATTTCTAAATCAAAGTGAGTACGGACACGGACTGGAGTGCCGGAGCAGGAGAAACCGGAATGGACACGGAGCAATCAGAATCACACGCCGTGTGACTTCTGCATTACAACAAGCCCAACGAGCCGTGGCATCGAACAGAAAACGCACGGCCATGTCCATGTGAATATCCATGTGAATATCCAGCCTGCAGCTGCTGCTCCTTCTGCGAAACCCATTTGTCCTGCTCTTTGCTCTGGCCTTTTTTGCGGTTTTGCCGTTCTTGATTTGGACATTCAAATATCGATTCAACTTCGTTACAGGCGACCGTACTTTGAGGTGAGCGGTCTGATGCCGGGCATGGGCTACAATGTCTTCCTCATCGCCCACAACAGCAAGGGCCGTAGCAACGCCACCATTTTGCAGGTCTACACGCTGAAGGATCCGGAGAAGCAGACGGGTGAGTTTAATCACAGGGGAGTCCCCAGAAATGAATCCCACGGATGGCTCGACTGATGCGGGCTGTCCTGTCTCCCCAGCTTCAGCTTCAGATCCAGCTCCTTCTCCATCTCCTTCTCTCTGTGCGTTTGCAATTTCATGCATGTCCTGGCCCGAGTCCTTGTGCTCTGCCTATAAATTAATTGGCGAGGGCCTGCATTTACAGCTGCTTCATTTGTCTTTTAATTTGCTTTAAGTTCTGCTAACATGGTTTGTTTCCCTTCTGTGTTCTTTTCTTTCTGGCGCCTTATTTCAATTGCACGCTTTCTTTTAGTTACCATAACATTCACTAAGTCCTTTCAAGGATTTAGGCCTGCCTATCCCAAAGCAAAAACGACAGCAACCACGACCAGCGACTGCGTTTGCGATGAGGACGAGTTTCTGAACTTGGGCAGGGCAATTAGCCACGACGAGGGCAAAGACGTTGACCAGCAAGAAGGTAGCGGTGGACTCTCCTTTTCTATAATTTTCTATTAATTTAATTGGTTTATCTTGTTTAACCTGTAACACTGCTCTAATTTTATAGCACCTAACATGGTCTTGTTTTTATCTGATTTGTTATTTATTCAATGTTATTATTTAATTACTTAGTTTTAGGCGAAATTTATAATTTGAATTATTTCCTGTTCATGTATATTTTATGTAGCTTTAGTTATTATTTGTGTGTTTACTTTTAAATATTTATTTGGGCTTTGTTTTGTTTCTAACAGTTTGTTATACAAATATTTTAGTTTTGACTTTTGATGTGACTAATTTTGATTTTCAATTATTTCGGTTTTGTAGCTTCATAAATTCACTTTAACAATTTCACCCCACCAAGTCCTCATAAAGCAGCACAAATAAATCCGGATGCCGAATGGTTTTATTTTCCTGTTCCCTTTTGTATGTTGGGTTACTAAAAATTCCCGACATGCCGACAAGGACTGAGACCCAAATTAGCAACCCCGGCGGGGCAACGGGGCGTATTACAACTCGCAGATATGCACAAGTACACGTACATATGCACCCACACACATGCAGCTCATTAAAGCGGCACTAAATTCAAGGCACGTGCGACAGGAACTGCCACCGACGACAACAACAACAACAACAGCATTAACAGCCAAAGGACGAAGACTGGACCAAGAACGGAACGTAGTTAGCAGCTCATAAAACAATGCAGTCTCACAGAAAGAAGGAAAGGGATAAGAGTGTGTACACAGAGCAAAACATTAGGTCTATATTTTGTATTAATTATTGGTTCCTATATAGTTTTCCATTTTTACTTTTTAAAACTAAAATATTTTATAAATCAAAGAGTGCAAAGAAAAAAAAATGTATTCTAAAGTAAGCTCAAAATCTTCTATGCAAGCTTAAAAAAAGGTTTTAAATTATTTATTTCATTATTACTTCTCAGTAAAATAATACCGTAAAGGAGGGAAAATAATAAGTAATACTTTCAGTAGCATCGATTATTAAACGCTTATATGTATTTTACAAAATTGCCTTTAATATTCGCGATATATTTTGTATATTGCTTACTGTTAAGAGACTGCTTAGAGAAATACTCAAATTTTGTTACCTTGCCAGCATAGTTTCTCTCTGTGTAGCAGCAGGAATACGTAAATGCAAAGGCACATGCTTATCCCCCAATCTCTGGTCTCTTTCCGGCTTCCCCTTTTTTACTTTCCGCCCATTCTCTCGCAGACCTCTCGCTGGCCTATGCGCCCGTCATCGAGGACATCCGGCCATTCCTCGGCATTCTGGCCGGCATCGTGGGCAGCGTGTTCCTGGTGGCCCTCATCATTGTGATTGTGGTGCGTGTGCGCGGCTCGTCGGGGCGCGATCGGAATAATTACTCGCATCCGGGCAGCGGCGTCGGCGGCGTGGGCGTGGGCGGCACCACCGGCAACGGCAGCGGGGTCGGAGGAGGCGGCGGAGTGGGCGGCACGACGGCCAACGGGAACGGGAGCCTGGGCCTGCTGACGAGCAACAACAATGGCAGCCTGGTCATCGGCACACTGGGCCACAATGGCGGGCAATCAGTGCAGGATATGCACCGCATCGGCCGGGAGACGTGCCATGTGACGAGCAGCCTGGACAGCATCGACAAGAATCCGGACATCATACCGCAAGGTGGGTTGGGTGAGTTTCCACAGGTGGCCTCGACTGTCACGGCCGCCGAGCTAATCCCTAGTGCCCCCAATCCCATTTCCAGACGGACACGACCTGGACGACGAGTGGACGACAAAGGGTCATGGCCGCGCTTACGCCACGGCGGCGATGGCCGAGCAGAACGCCGTGATTACCTCCGGCACCTATGATCACCTGATGCCCACGTACGCCGTGGTGGACAAGAAGACAGCCCCGCCCCCCGGCCACGGCCCCTACATCCAGTATAATACGCTCATCCCCGTCAGCAAAATGGGCGCTTATGCCAATCAACAGCAGCAGCTCCAGCAGCAGCCGCAACAGAAGGTGAGTTATGGACACCCCGGACACCCTAATCCACTTCTTACACTGCCGGACAGTGGTGCGCCCTAAACCTTTTACAATATGCCGGAGATGCCGCCGCCAGAGTCTTAATTTACGACCCATGGACAGGTGGTAGACCCCTATTGTTTCCCTTCGCAGCAGCCGTCCACATATTTCGGGTTAAGTGGTTTTTATGGCCAGCAGTTTGTTGCCTCTGCCTCTTGGGATGATGATAAAGCAGTTGATGTAAATCAGACGGAAGCCTCTTAAAGTAAACTATCCTACACACTCTATTAGTAGGGAATTTATTCCATTTAAGTGTTAATGAGGGAATTTCATTGAAAACCATTTAACATTAACAATAATGTAAACATATAAATGAAATATAAGAATTATACAGGGCAATTTTACAAACTAAAAGCCGTTGAAGCTTAAACAAATGCAATTTAGAACTCGCTCGACAACTATCAAACTCTGTCACTGAAGAATTACAAAAACTTTGCCAACTTTCCAAAGGGAATCTTTTCTTTGAAAAACTCCTGAAGGTCGCGAGCGGAATATATGAAAACAACAATAGCTTAGATGGGAATGGAACAGCATCATCTGCAGTTGTAAGAGAAGCGAAGAAACCAACATAATTTGAAAATCATTTAAGTAGAAATTTCTCTGTGCCAGCCACGCCCCTTTCGGAGGAGTAGAGCCAGTAAGCGAGAATCGAGAACCGAGAACCGAGGGCAGCCGCAGCAGCTGCAGCAATATAAATTTTCCATTTGCGAATTTAATAAAAATAAGTTGTAGGCGAACCCATCGCGAGGCGAGTCGAGACTGCGGAGCAGCAACCGCTAAGGATGTGCGCATCCTGCTCCGATCCCCACTGCTCCTGCTCCTTCTCCTGCTCCTCTTCACTAGCTGCCAGCTAGCTCGAAATGCAATAAACGACCAAGTGTGTGCCTCGCCGGAGGAAAGGCGGAGTGGGGAATGGCTGTTAAGGGCAGGGCCAACAGCAGCAGACACATTACAAACAGGCGTCGCAAGTGGGCGGTGTCTGGCCTAAACAAACAGACCAACAGCAGACATAAAGCAGGCAGAACGACTCGCGAATTGTTGTAAATAACAGCTTTAACCTGCTCACGCAATCAAAACCCTTAAGGATGCCACCTTCAGCCCTCCTCGCTTAACATTAACTCGATAGTTATTCCATACGAAAGCAATACGGTAGCTAAATTTGTTTCTTCAACAAAAAATACCATATTGTGCTTAAACACTTTTTCAATAAATTTGATTTACATTGATTTTAAACATACCATTTTAATGGTCAAGAATTACAGACCATAATATAATATCTAAACGCACTAAAACATCTAGCAGCGAGTTAAGCCAGAGAAATCCTGTGTAGTATAGAAATCCGATTTTAAAATTGCAGCTACACTCCAAAGACCTTAAAACCTTTTGTTTTTTGTTAACAGAAAGCTTTAAAGGTAACAAGACAAAGACACATCTTTTAGACTAACTAATTCCGGAATTAAAACTGGGTTTAATAAAGCAAACCCCATTGGGAATAGGCATTCAAAGAGTCTAAGTTGGAGTTCTAAATTTATTTGATAAATATGAAATGTTCACTAATACTTCTTGAAGTTCCAAACACATATATATTTCTTTAGACTATTCTAAAACTGTGGGGGTAAGAGTTTTGATAAATTACCTCAGATTAATTGATAAATACAAAACTTTCCTTACTACTTCTTGAGATTATCAACCTTTTCTTCCTTTATTTTCTCCCTCCTCAGACTGAGCTCAGCTACAGCGAACTGACCGCTCCTCTGGTGGGCGGTACGGTGAGCGTTCAGCGGATGGCCCCCTATTGCAGCGCGACCTTGGGACGGCCGGGCAGGCAGGCGGAACTTAAGCGGGCGGAGCCGAACATCTACTCGCAGGTAAATGTGATGATGGACGACGAGATTCTGGCCGACTTGCAGGCGGCCACAGCTTCCGGGAGCAGCTATGTGGCAGGGGCCGTGGTCGACAATGTGGGTGGCGCAGCCAATCTCTACGTTCAAGGCTATGCGACGCGGGTTTAGAATCGAATCCGAGAGATTGTTATGATTTTGTCATTTACTTAGTTACTTATTGGTTTTTTAAAATAAACTTAATTTATTTCACACATTTTCTTTGTGATTTGCGACAAGACCCAATTATACCAACAGAAAAAACGAAGCCAAAAAAAATCGTCTTAATAATACAACTTGGGAACTACAAAAATAAATAATCATCCTGCATCAATAAGAACTGACCAAATCAATAAACCGATGTCCGAAACTTGTAGCCCATACAAAAAATATGCAGTGCTTTCTTGAAAAATATTTATCTTCCATCGGAGAGCAATTCCGAGTATTACACATACGCACCGTTGCACAAACAAATCGAGCTGCAAGCAAACAGAGTGCTGAAAACTCAGTTTACGCAAATCGGGTTTAAGGAGACGCAGAGAAGCCGACAGATATCGAATAATGACCAAGAAATACCCTCGCTGAAAGCCGAAGAAGAATCTCATGTAATTTGGCCAAGAAATTGAGTACCTAGAGCAGCTGAGCGCAGATTTGCCAAGAATCCGACTGGGGAAAGGTATAAACATGATAGATGTGGGAGTGGAGAGAAGCGTTTTCACAGCCACCCCTATCAGGAAAGCATATTTCGAATTTGTCTGGCCATGGCAGACAAGTTATGTTCCGATTTTGTGGAACACTCCCATCGGGACTTTGTTCAAGTCGAGAGTCGTTCGCTTTGTTTATCCAACTGGCTTTCATTCCTCTTAATAATTGAAAGGACTTGAGTTATGACCAAGTGTAGGCGAATCGATATGGATTCAGGCTGGACAGACAGCAAATGCACTTAAACACCACTCGTGTTGGAGGGAAATCGGTCGTTGTAAAAACAACAATTAATGCCACCATACGAGCAAAGTCCTGGCAACCATTTCACCTAATGACATTGTTTGGTTTTGCTGTCATTTATCGAAAAGTTTTACACGACATGCAGTTGGCTCTCGACTTATTTTTTTCTAAAAGCAAAAATGCTGGCCATTGAATTCAGCACTGAGTTTGACTGTTATTGTTGGGACCATTATTTTAATTTGATTCTTTATGACATTTTCTGCTTACTGGCTAAGTTTTGGTCATATTGGCTAGCCTACAAATTTTTATTAAACTGTAGACATTATATGTTAACAGCTTATACTTATAATAAATATAAGCCTAACTTGTCTTATATTAGAGCATATTGCTTGTTGTCAGCCAGCCCACCAATTTTAATTTACATGGCGGTAAAAATTAATTTCATTAAAATCTCGTTGAGCCCATTAAGAAAACAACGTCGATATGCCTCGCCCAGGCACACACGTTAATTACGGAAATAAGCATATAAACATTCTGCACACACACGCACACTAAGCCAGCTCACAAATACACGGCCCACCCATGGGCCAATTATTGTAGTAGTTCACCACATAGCAGCCTCTTGTATGCCATGGCAACCATGTTGGCTAAATAAACGCCGGGCGCGTTGTTAACTATCCTATCAGCAACATCGCCACGCGGGGCGGGTGGCAGCGGTGAAACCGCATAGTCCGCGATGGTTGCAATATGCGTGGGCAACCACACTCACATATTAACCAACAGGCCACTGGCACACTCGTCAGTTATACTATAACATAAATTACACCACGGAAAATCAACAACAATAGCTTCCCAAGATATAAACATAATTTTCCGCACTATCTAAGGTTGTAATTTTAAACCCTTTTGAATCACCCATAAGTGTAACTGGCGCCCAACGTGGGGGACATAATAATATGTCAAAATCTTTTGTTTCAAATCAATTTCAATTTATTTTAGCTTTTCACGTTGTCATTTTGGATTCTGTTTTTATTGTAATTGCTTGAAATTGTGAAAAGTCGTAATCAATAATCCAATTTAATGATTGGCGCCCAACGTGGGGTCACTGATTATTTGTGTACAAGGTTCCGCGGTGTAAGTAGTTGCTATGTTTAGATGCACCATTATCGTTTATTCTTCCTATCGATCAATTACTTTTGTTTCAACCCCCCAATCGCCATTCCCAAAAGTCGTGACTAACTCGCAGCATATAAATCATCACATGACTAAAACCTCATTACCTACTCCTCTACCTACCTACACCGCAGATCGATCTGGCACATCATCCCATGCCCATGTACTCGACGAGCCCGATGTTTGGCACGAACAGCACCATCACCGGAGTCACCATGTCGCATCCATCACAATTGGCCACCTTCTCGCCGACGCCGCCGCCGCCCATCTTCACCCACAGCATGGTGACCACCGGCGATGGCCTCCTGCAGCCGGTGACGTGCATGGGCCTGGTGGCAACATCTTCAGCAGCGGCATCGGGTCCGGGACCGGGTCCCCTTCCCCTTGCCCCACAGCAGCAGCAGCAGATGACAGCGACCAATGGCGGAAACGGAAGCATCGTCGGCATGGGCATGAGCCTTTATGGCAGCGATGTGGTAAGTGTCAGTTTGATGTACTCTCCAATTCCTGGACGCTCCTGCTGGTCCCTGTTGATAGCGAACCGGTCGTCAAGGCAACTCGCCTAATGTCCAAAACGTTGAAAGCATCAATATGCAAAGTGGATTTTCGGGCAAGGATTTTTGGCAGCGCTCCTTTCGAGGCGAGGCGGCAGCAGGAAACATTTATCTTGGCCCCCGACCACCCGCATTTCGGGGGCATCTTTTGTGCCCAATTTTGTTTTCGTTTTTCCCTTATAAATGGCAGCCGCTGGGGCGGAAAATGGGTTTTTGCGGTTGGGCTGATAACTGCTCAAGTGATTGCAGTCGCCGAAAGGGTATTCAAATACGGAAAATTAAGAGCGGAAACCCCTCGAGTTCAGATATTTAACGCCGAAAGAGAACAGTCCTAAGCAACTTCATTTTGGATTGGAAGAGCTCCCTTTTTGTTGCGTTCCCTATCGCAGTTTCCCCTACATTACCCTGCGTTCAATCGATTAGCCCACCCAGTGCGTCATCGATCAACAGATGACTCAAAGTCGAACCCATCCCAGTGACAGTGCAATTTTCTGGTAATCCATAACCTTTGATCCCTCTGTAGACGGACAACTTTAAACTCAGCTGGAGAGGGAGAATTTTGCCGGCATTTTCAATGGGTTCCGAGCGGTAAATGACCTCTGACTGTGCCGCAGGATAATAAAAAAACCCGCTGCTGGTTGTCTCGCTCTCACCGCCAGTGCCTCCCATTCATTGTCTCTGTCGGTTGCCTTATAAATACGCCATTATGTATACTCCCGACGCAGCGCAGTGCGTTCGTCCTGGCCCTTCTCCTGGTCGAGGTCCAGAAGGACATCAGGCCAGCAGGCCAACCGGCTTCGGCCATTGCATTGTCCCCGCTGATGTTCGTTCCACAAAAAGAATTACGTTTTTACAACAATTTCATGCCAAAAGGACACTGCGGTGTGGCAACTTTTGACTCTAATGATTGCAATTATTATGACCCAAATAAGAAGAAGAGCACCAGGAGCACAAACAAAAAAGAAACGAAGGAGCAGAACAACATCATCATCAACAGCAGTGACTGAATTCAGGATGTTTTATTCCTCTGCTGCCTTGTCTGCCACTTTTTGTGTTGCCTTTTCTTGAGCTGCTCCTTTTGTTTGTCACTGATGTGGTCCTTGTTTTTCCCGCTCGACTCCCAAAGGCGGCCCAAACTGACACTGTTGGCCGTGTTGGCCCGAGGGAGTTGGCCAAAACACAGCAAATGGCTGGGGGACTTGTTGGTTTCTTACTTTTGTTTTTGTCTTGCCTCGGTTGCCACTCTGCCAAAATTAAATATAACGCATACGCACCGTTTTTGCTGGTACCATTTTCCAGCCAGAGTGGTGGGAAACTTGAATTTGTAATAGCTGCGAGTACTCAAATAATGTGCGGCTCATTAATTTTAAAGCACCGCTATTTAGTGCCTCTGGCCCCTGAGCTGTCTGCGGGTATTCCCATTGCTGAATACGGTTTTCGTTATTTTCGTCTCACCTCGTCCCCATTTTTCTCTCGATTCCTTTGCAGGGCAAGCCACAGCTGCTGAAGACCGTGCCAGAGGAGATACACCACCAGCTGAACGGCGAGGATGTCCTCATCGCACAGGATCGCAGCATCGGATCCGGAACTCGCTTCTGACGCTAAGTTCTCGGCCGGGATGGGCAACTAATCTGAAGTCAAAGGCAAACAGGAAATGCAAATCAAAAGAAAGAACTATGGAAAATCGGGGAATAATTGGTAAACAAATTGACTATAAGTTGTATGTGATGAGCCAGCAAAAAGTAATAGAGTTGATTTTAAAGCAGAGAAAGAGCTACTTAAGTTGGCACTCTTTTAGCGAAGAAAAGATCATAATACGAGGATACCGAATGGAGGGAAAACCCTGTAAAAAGATAACAATAAACTGTGCATGTAAATTGTTCGAAGCAAAAGTGAAGCTCAGCATTGAAATCCACTAGGCCTAAGAAGACATGTAAATTACGGAATACAATTAACACTTATAGCTATAATTATAACTAACATTAAATCGAAAACACTGAATTGTTAATATATTTTTAAACAACAGCTTTAAGCGCCAAAAGAGAAACATTAACTTTTAGCTAAGTAAACGAATTCATAATTGTTGTTGACCTTAGTTTGAGTAACCTAGCTCCCCTTACCATTTAGCTTGTAACCTAGGCTTAACTAAGGCATTTACAACATCTAAATCAAATTCATCTAGCTGTAAGCTCCAACTTAGCATAGTTCAAATTGTAATTAAAAGATCATAAAGAATTTAAAGAAACACTAACGCTAAGGTAACTAACTAATGAACGATTAATAAACGACTCAAATTAGCAAATCCAGTTTGCATTTTATACGTAACGAACTACGAAAAAGGAAAATTCAAACAGAGGTTTGCCGAACAAGCCCGAAAATCCCTGGGAAAGTAAAATCTAGTGTAAGGAGAAATGCATAAAATTAATAAAATAAAAGGCTAAGCAACTGCATGTAAAATATTTAACTGAGTATTAGGCTAAAGTTAATAAGTTAAATTTAATAAAATGTATGAAACCAGGAAGACCAAGTCAATTGATTGCACTGCAAGGCGGGGTGGGCAAATGGCGATTGCAGGTTCCCCTGGAGGATCACTGACCCGGACACCACTCGATTCCACCTTTTTGTGCAGGAACTTGGAACTGGAGCAAACATTAGCAGGCCCATCGACAAGTCAAATGTTGCAGCAAACTGATGTTTGCAAACACAGGGGCGTGGCAACAGGGCGGCGTGTCCTGTGTGCTCGGGCCTGCCTTGTAGCAAACGGCAAATATTGACGGGCCGCGTGAGCAAACAAAGGGAGAAGCGGAAGTCAAGCTGGGCGACACAACCGCAGAGGAACAATAACAAAAACAGGCGGCAATCTGCATTGAGTACGGCGACAACAGCAGCAGCAACAGCAGCAACATCAACTTACTGAAGCAGCAACATGGCCGATACAGCGCTCAAAAATTGTCAGGCCATGTAAATTTTGTATGCGAAAGCACTTAACACCGTTTTCGCTTAAGCAACGCAAACAGCGAGGAAGTCGAGGAGCCCAGCGCACTGAGTTAGATCATAGTCACCGGCATTTATGGAGGGCCTACATGGAAGGCAAATTATGCAAATTTTGACCGCATCGTCGCCGCCGTCGATGACTTGTAAATTTTGGGCTTCCAGGAGCCAGGTTCCCGGTTCCTGGCTCCCGGTTCCGGAGTACCTGTTTAGATTTCAAGATATGCCAAAGGTACGCTGAGCAAAGGTACACAAACACGCATCCATATGTATGTGCAGCCCAAATATTTGAACCTCAAGACGTGGTATGAGTAGGTTCGAAATTGGAGTGGACCACATGTCAGGCCGCAAGACCGCAGTGAGAAGGCTGCCTGCCATTAACCCACCAGATTGAAATCAATTAATCAAAATGCACCACATAAATTATAAATTAAACGCCTGCTTATGCTCATTTCGGAGCTGTGGCTGCCGCCAAGTCACTCCTAGGTCCTCCCATCCACGGGAGGCCATCAATCTGGCGGCGGTAATAAAGCGGCACAAAAGCCAAACCGAACGGACGGAAATTCGAATTGCCGTTGATAGAAAAATGGCGTTCAATTCTATTCTAAATCATAAATAAATATTAAAAATCAATTTGAATGCGATATCCCTGCCTGCGCAGCACAATGATAGAAATATAGTCGCAACGAAAAATAAACAAAAGCAAATAACAATGCATTTGACTTTGACAGCATGCTCGTTGCCGTTTTTCCATGAAATGAAAGATATTAAAAGGTATGAAATGTAGATGAATTCAATTCTAAGAAGCCATGGCTATATTAATTTCATAAAACCTTTTGTCATGGTGATTTTATCTGACAAAGTGTACACTTTTGTATTACGAATGCCCTGCTTAGATCGATCAGCTTCCCCCACCCCCAAACTACACATATTTTCCATTCAGTTTTTAGCTTTTTCCTCTGACTTTTATTACCTAAATTAAAAGTTTCGACACAAAAAGTTTTTTTACTACTCTTTCGCGGCTCCGCGATGATGAATGATGAATCGTTTCGTCACAAAAGAATTCATGTATTTATGCGACATTTGCTTTTAATTGATTGTTCGAAATGACAAACGACTTTTGGTCTGCGACTCGCTTGATTTATGCCCCAACGAGCTAATAAAACTTTACTGCGAGTTGTGCGAAATTAAACGAAAATGCCCTGCAATTAAGCGAGTTCTTTTTCGCCGCAGTCGAAGCTTACGACACACTTAAGCCGCCATTAATGCACAGTTGCACTGTTGTGTTGTCTGTCACTGCAGTGGCCTGATTTATAAGCCAACACTTACAACACAGCAGACAAGGATCCAGATCCGGACGAGGATGGGGAGGAGGAGGAGGACGAGAACGCGGACGAGCACGAGGACGTGGACGTGGATGGGTCCTGACCACAGAAACATTTTCTTACCACTGATTTATTTACATTTAAGCAATTTCGTCGCCATCGTTGTGAAGTTTCCAGACGGAAATTCGCAGCATTGCATCCGGAAATTGGCAACAAAAAGAGGGGTGCATTGTCCTACCCCTTTCGACTCTACACCCCCCACCACCACTTCCCCGCCCCTGCGATTCTGCCCCCATTTTCCATACGCGAGGGCCAGAGAAGATTAATGCCGGCGCTTTTATTGTTTGGTCAGTCGCGTGACCATTTTGTGCAATTTATATCGTAAATAAAAGTGACGAAGGAAATAAGGAAAATCCGAAGCGATGAAAAAAAGCCGTATGAAAAGTTAAGTTGGCCCAACACCTTTGTTAAAGCTTGCTCTTTAAAAGCAGACAGTTTTCTCCTATTCAAAATGGTGTTAACGAATTGATGGCGGAAACTCAATCCGACGGTCGTATTGATTTGTTGGCCAAACAAATTTACCAACCGTCCGCCGTTCAGAATGTGAAACAGCCACTAAGCCTTGGCCCATAATGCGTAACAAATCTAGGCAAATTTTCGGGCAGCAGAAGGCGACACCTCTGCCACAAAAGCCGTGGCAAAAGGGGAAGGAAGAGTAACGCATTTGAAGGTTAAATAAATTGCTGGATCCAAACATATGCCCCAGGACCATAAATATTTGGGATACGGAAGCTGGCAAACAAAAAAGGGTTTATCGGGGGTGGGGGGCATGGGCAGGAGTAACAAATGCGTGTATCCATTTACATAGAAAGTACCTGGCGTCGCACATTTCCTGCCTTTCACCGGATCCAGCCGGATTCCCGCCTCCGGTTAATATGGCGGCGTCAAAACAACATTAAACACGGGGCCGGGTAACCGGGAACCAGCCACCGGAAGTGTGTATAAAATAACCATGCCCACACGCCCATGCCCACGCACACACACACACACTAACACACATGCGCCAACGTCGACACGCACTCTCGAACACGGTGCGTATACGCAATAAACATAAAAATTTTGAATAGCGACAAGCCGAGAGGGGAACCCCCTGCCGACGCCCTGATTTCCCTTTTGGACGTTCACCTTTCTTTATGCGATGGGCCCCCCAGAGGTTGCAAATTATTTTTTTAGTACTTTATTCAATGCGCATTAGGCGCGCTTCCAGTCTTTTTTTTTGCCCCCCAAATTTCGGTCGTAAAATGAGCGAAAAGGTGCGTGAGCTCGGGTTGGAAATCCAGATTTTCCGTGTGCAGGCCAAACTACCAACTAATGCGGGCAAACACTTAATTTTTGTTGAATTTTTTACAACTCCAAGTGTCTGCAATGATTATGGAATGGAGTGCGAATAGCTTAGCCAAATGAAATGCATAAGTTTGAAAAGGTAACTCTTTGATGACGGCGAGGGTTCGGCTGTGGACTTGTAAATAGCTGGTACGGAATACCATTCTACATAATAGTACACCCATTTAATCATAGCTCTTTATGCACTACATTCCATGACAGAATCAGGTATGCCAAATAGATTGGCCATTAGTATTCATTACTGTTTATTTAAGTTTTTGAAATACTTTGTCAACTAATTAAAATATGAAATAAATAACCCCTGAGCCCTCCCCAATCTGATGGACAGAGTTGCAGTGTGACAAAGTTTTGACCGCAGATAAGTGGTATTTACGTGTGGGCTGTTGGCCAGATTCAAGTGGCTAATTTTTGGAGTTGGGAAAAGTACTTTTTCAGTGCCATTATGTTGATTGAATGTTTTGAACGCCGACCACTCGACTATCAAACTCGATCCTAAATGAAATGCAAATTGCTTTTTTTTGCCGGCATGCAAACTAATAAACATAACATTTATGAATTTTATCGAATTTGCCATTTGTGCACGTTTGTAATTCGGTTTATTAAAAAGGGCTTCATAGATAATTAATAAATTGCGCATCATTTGCAAATTGCAACCGACAGGATCATGCATGGCCAGATACGAAAGACATTTTATATTGCTGACCAGTGGCCAGACCGCTGCGGTCGAGTTGGTAAATCGAAATGATTTCCATGACATTTATATGATTGCATTTAAATTTTAGTTTTAATTTATATTTAATTATGTTGCGTTTGGCGCTTTAAAGGCTGCCACCCTGCTGCTAATTAACCACGTAAAAAGCAATGCCAAATTTATGCAGAACTTTCGCTGGGAAAGCTCGCAATTACAGCTTATTGTTGTCTTTGTCTCGAGTCTATAATTACCCCGTGTGAAAATGTTTTTGCAATTATGAAAGAACGCCAGGAAACTCCAGTTTCCTCCTTGGTTGAAAGTGAAATTCGGTTTTCTGGGCAAATTACAAGGCGTGCTAGATTATATGACCCAAAAGTTTCTCTGCTGGTCGGGCAGACCTCTAATTGGTTTTTGATTTCGTCTTTGGGTGAAGGCCTAAAAATGTCTGCGACATTTGCAGCTCCGAAAACTAAATTGCTTCAGGAGTTTTGCACATGCCTACAACTTGAGGCAAAGTTTTTGGCAAATAACAAAATTAACCCCAAAGTGCCTGCGAGGCATGCAGCCAGTGGAGTGTTAACATCCCCCAGTTTGTTGCAGTGTAAGTGTAAGTGTGCTTTGTAAAGTTGACTACGCTAATATGTCACTTTGTCGTGGGTAAAGTTAACTTACCTCCGCCTTTGCACCTGCCTGCACTTTGGTCCTGCAATCGCCTCACTTTTTAGCCAGCTGCAAGCAAGCACAAGTGTGTGTGAAGCCAGCATCCTTTTTGGCAAGAGGAGGATGGCGACAGACAAGCTGCGGTTGCTGGCCCAATGTCCTGTTCCCCTCTCTTGCCAACACACACACTCGCATACACATGATTCGCCATTAAATTTGCAGTAACACAAAATGTCGCTTACCCGAAAAGTCTGCACCTACAGGTAAAAAGTGGCACCTCTAAAAGCTTCAGCTCAAAGACAACAAATAAATTGAATTGAATCCAGACGAGACGCGACGACACGAACTAAAATGAAATTTCCAGAAATGGCGCAGCTTAACCAAACTGTAAGGTTGCGAATAAAGGCATGCTCTTTAGTGGACTAAAATGTGGCCAAA